TAAAAATTAAGAGACGAATGCACGTTTGCGCACAAAAATTATTGCCTACAATAAGATTGCTTACAAGTTCTATTGTGCACAAATAAAAAATTAAGAGATGGACGTACGTTTGCACACACCAAACTATTGCGTACAAGCCATATTGCGCACATAATATTATTATTGTACCTACAGTACGTTTGCCAACAAGTTCTATCGCGCACAAATAAAAATTAAGAGACAAACGTTTGCACACAAAAATAATTGCCTACAGTACGATTGCCTACAAGCTCTATTGCGCATAAATAAAAATTAAGAGACAAACGTTTGCACACAAAAATAATTGCCTACAGTACGATTGCCTACAAGCTCTATTGCGCATAAATAAAAATTAAGAGAAGAACGTACGTTTAAAAAATTGGTAATTATCCAGTTATACTGTCTATCTCTAGCTATGTAACTGGGGGGCTTCGTCCTCCAGACTCCCCGTATCACGGTGGAGTGGGAGCTACAGTCTTTTGTGAGAAATTCACTCTTTAGCTTAAGCACAAGAGACTATAGCCCCCACCTCCTGTGATACGGAGGCTCTGAGGGGCGAAGCCCCCTAGTCACATAGCTAGAGATAGATGGTATGACAATGCATCGATTGAGCCTATATTCATCGAAATCGGAGGTGTTGCCGCTAAACTAAATAATTACTATATTATGTGTGCAAACGAGCGTTCGGCTTTTAATTTTTTATTTGTGCGTAATAGAGCTTGTAGGCAATCGTACTGTAGGCAATTATTTTTATGTGCAAACGTACGTTTATTTCTTAATTTTTTATTTGTGCGTAATAGAGCTTGTAGGCAATCGTACTGTAGGCAATTATTTTTATGTGCAAACGTACGTTTATTTCTTAATTTTTTATTTGTGCGTAATAGAGCTTGTAGGCAATCGTACTGTAGGCAATTATTTTTATGTGCAAACGTACGTTTATTTCTTAATTTTTTATTTGTGCGTAATAGAGCTTGTAGGCAATCGTACTGTAGGCAATTATTTTTATGTGCAAACGTACGTTTATTTCTTAATTTTTTATTTGTGCACAATAGAACTTGTAAGCAATCTTACTGTAGGCAATAATTTTTGTGCGCAAACGTGCATTCGTCTCTTAATTTTTATTTATGCGCAATAGAGCATATAGGCAATCATACTGTAGGCAATAATATTATGTGTGCAATGTGATTTGTGCGCAAGTGTCGTGTGTGCAAACGAGCGTTCGGCTTTTAATTTTTTATTTGTGTGTAATACAACTTGTAGGTAATTGTTCTGTAGGTAATAATTTTTGTGTGCAAATGAAATATGGATAAGTTTAATGTCAGCAATCGATACTGTAGGCAATTAATTTGTAGGCAAACGGGATCCTCCCGTTTTACCTGTATATTTTATTTCACCATTTATTATACTATTTTTTATTGTAAGGGAAAAGTATTTTCGGACAATTTTACAAGTATGCTCAAATAGTTTCAAATGTTCTTTGGTTCATATTTATTTTTATTTAGAAATGGCACGTAACTTTCGTCAGCGTATCATTCTTCGCTTTTGACATCACAAATTCAATATGACGATGGTGTAGGGTACAAGGAACCTTAATGCCAATATTCTTTAACTTCTTGCAGATTTTATAATTAGTTTTTCACTATTTTTATATTAAACAATATATACTGTACAATATATATATGTGTGCACACATATACATACGAAATGTCTGACAATTAATAACAACAGTCGTGTGCAGATAGAGCCAATCAAACTAAATAGGAAAATCCTCTATTATTTTGTAAATTTTATTAGAGTTATTAAGGAATAAATTAAATAATATTAGCAAATAAGTGTACGATATGAACAATGTAACAAATCAAAATCTCATCCAAGATGACTCGAATCTATTAATAACCGGAAATCGATGAATGGTTTATAGTGTTGGGCAATGGAAGTATGTAGTTAATATCACTGTCTGCCATTGGTAGAAGATTGTTAAAAAATTTAAATCATTTTGGATGAAACTTTGAATATATTGTAAAATGCACTTTAATACTGAAATTCTATAGTATATGTAACTTGAACTATAAGGTTTATTGGCGTTGCTTGCATTTTTTACACTTTCATATTTAACGCCCATTGTACACAGAATCTCTTTAAAAAAAAGTTCTTATTGGATTTCGCTTGTCGCATCTGGTATGCAACGGGCATTATGTACAAAAGTATTCAAAGCAATGCAAGCAAAACTCCTCAATTATTAATTGCAATTTTTAGTACTGTTAGTACTTTTAGAACGTAATTCCTGTATACGGAACTCGACCTACTTCCCATGCATTAACACATGCATTCTCTTTGCTAATAGTATTTTATTAATTTCTTAACTACTGCAAAATGTGATAGAGTTTTCTATTCAGTTCGATACAATCTAAACTACCTGTGTACAAATATTGTGTTATTAATTGCCAGTGTGCGAGTATGTGTGTGTGCGTGCGCACGTGCGTGCGTGCGTGCGTGCGTGCGTGCGTGCGTGCGTGCGTGCGTGCGTGCGTGCGTGCGTGCGTGCGTGCGTGCGTGCGTGTAGGCGCGAGCGCGCGTGTGTGTTATATAATACAAATGTACGTACTTCATGCCTTATATTAATACATTCATATTATTTCTTTATTATGTTTAACAATATTATCTTCAAACATATTAATATCTTTAAAATATTCCCTATACCTTTTATTATGTAAAATATATAAATAACTGTGGTTTTAAAACACTCTAGTGCAGACATATGTATTGCTTTTTTATACGATATAAAATGTTATAAAATCATAATATATACTTTGTAAAAATACGTATATATTTTCCTTGTTTAAGACACGAGATATTACATTATATATACATCATCGTATAATTTTGTAATCATTTGTGATTGACTTTATATTTCTCAATATGAACAATTTTTTAGGCTTCTATAGATCTATTTTGTAATTTTTAATGACAGTATTGTTATCGTTACGTTATTATTATGTAGATGTAATATATGATAGAAAAGCTGCGCAACGATAATGTACGCAAACAATGTCTTAAAAATGATATTTTAAAGGCGTCTTAAAAAATTGTCAGAAGGTATCTTTATGATGTCTTTATGACGTTCTGATTTAAGACATCTTTAAGGCTTTGCTATTTCGCCGCAAAAAGTCTGAATTGACGGTGGCGGCTAGCAATGTCGAGAACACGAAATAACCGTGTCAGCGTAGCTGATTGGAACACTCAACTAGGCTCACACTAGGCCTCTCTTGACACCTCGGGAAATTACTTGTGTTTTATCGCGTTATTTTTCAGTTTCTCCGTGAAGTGTGTATATTATGATCCTTACAGTCGTAAAATATACAGCAAACTCAGTGATCCTGGTGATACATTGTAAAAATCGAGAAATTAAATGTGTTTATACAGGTTGGTAGCTGTCAAACCACCGTGACAGCCGAAAAATGTAGCATTTCAGGAATTATTTTACGATGCTACGTGATATCAGCCAGATATCAATATTTGTTGTACTTTTTATAGGTTTCAGGATTAGGAAAATATTTCCAGCAAATACAATAATGACAGTTACATCGTTGTAATATAACAGAATGTAACGTGCAATATAACATGTTTGTTACGAGTAACATATACGTTAGTTATAATTTCCCACTCATACGAAGTTGCCGTTATAGAATAGAAATATAACCTGTTACTAAAATGTTATATAGCTGTTATATATATTGCTAAAATATTATATAACTGCAATATAAATTATTATTTTCCAGCAATTATAGGCATTTAATTGTATACAAAGATTACAAGCTATCACTCAAATATCAATTAATTTGTAAAAGTATGCTTTTAAAAATATTATAATTATATATTTTATATCAAAAATATTTTTAGTAGATAAATATTTTTAAAGATAATAGCGTAAAAGTATCTTGCCATTCTAAATTAATTAGCTTCCAAATAACACAAGATATTCCAGAATCATCCTAGAGTCATTCTAGGCGTCTGGTGTTTATCCTCAAACATTTTATGCTATTAGAGTTATTTTTATTTATTTATTTTCATCTCTCTATATATATTTGAATGGAAGGGATTACTATTGTAACAGTAATTTTCACTGATCAAAAAGTGTATTATAAAAGTAGACTCCATAGTACAAATTGTCCCGTTTTGTGATCATCGTTCTTATATATTAATAATAATATAATAATAATAATATAATAATCTTAATTATATAATAATCTTAATTATATAATAATAAATTAATATCATATTTTACATATGAAAAAGACGCGAGAAAACGAAAGCCATCTAGCGAATGATCCGATACCTAGATATAAGAATGCTATATAACATAGATTTAATGCGAATAA